CCTCCTCCTCCTCCTCCTCCTCCTCCTCCTCCTCTCCTCCTCCTCTCCTCCTCCTCTCCTCCTCCTCTCCTCCTCCTCCTCCTCCCCTCTCTCCTCCTTGTCGTGCTACTCCATTCTCATCGTCTCCTTCCCCTCTCAACTTCTACCTGTTCCTGCCTCTACCCCGTACTGGAAGCCGATGGGGGAAGCGGCGAGCCCGGAGCTTTCTCTGCTGCTCTCGATCTCGTCCCCCTTGTAGTAGAGGCTGAAGTGAACTGTGCAGACGTCGCCGGGCTGGGGGGTGATGCCCTTGCCAATCAGCAGGTCCTGCACCACCAGCCCGTTCCCTAGCGTCACCTGCGCTCCTGCTCACTCTCGGTGCCGGCCATGTCGCTGCTTACCGGAGGGCTCTTGGCCTTGCCCATTGCCTTGCCAGTCTTCCTGCACTGCTTCCAAGTCGGATGCTTGTCGCAGAGGTCGTCGTTCACTTTGTAAGTGACTTCCCGCGGCACGGTCGGAGCCTCCACCTCTTCTGCGTCACTTCAGCCCCTCTCTCTCGAGCTCTCGCATGCCCTACCTTCCTCTTCCGCTCCTACAGCAGCCAGGGGTGCGAGCATCGCTCCTCCTGCTGTCAACAGCGCAGCTCGAACGAAGCTCCTCCTGCTCTCATCGGGAGTCTGAGGCACAAGGGAGGCCCGGCAAGACATCGCAGTGCTGGTCCTACGAGCAGACCCAACGAAAGGCGAAGAGAAGCCATGGGCTTGAAGCAGCAAGACTAGCAGGAGCGAACCTCTCAACAACGTTTGCATCTTGAGGCTCAGAAACTTCCTCGAGATCCTCCTGGTCGGACGTCAGCCAAACAAACAAACTCAATCAGCAGCATACTAATGACTTCGTTCCCTCCCTTCCTTTCCCTCCCTCCCTGCCTTCCTACCTGCCTCCCTCCCTCCCTCCCTCCCTCCCTCCCTCCCTGCCCCCCCTCTTCTCTTCCTCTTCTCTTCTCCCCCTCCTTCCTTCCCTGCCTCTTCTACACCATTGTCTCAATCCGCTCTTTTCCGCTGGTTGATAATCGAATTTCCTGTTTCTCAAACATCTAGTGAATTTACATTTCAATTTTGAAATTTTAGAGTAATATTTGGATCAATATTGATATTCACCCCCCATTGGCAAACACACCGGTTCTGACAAGTTTCCCCTTATGAGGGTTTTCTTTAAAATGTTTTATATAATAAACATATAAAATGAATCGTTGTGTTCTCGACGTGTAAACGACCCTGAAGGGGAACGGGGGATCATGGACGTGGAAGATGCTTCGAGAGGTTCTGACTGAAGAAACTTCTCCACTCCTCCTGCTGCTTTTCGTTGTACTCACACAGCAAGTCCGGAGCCTGCAGACTGTCAGCCCAACTTTCACCTACTCCCACCCACTCCCTACCTTGCAGAGCGTCGAGTCTATCTTTACATGCCCATCCCCGTCCGTCACGCACCTCCACCACGTGCTCTCCAGTTTCTGAGGATATGGTGAGGAGGGGACGAGAAGGAGGCGGGCAAGACCTCAAGGTGGATGCTGAGCAAGCGATTCTCTTCCACCGTCCAGAAGGAGCCCTCCACCTTGATTTTCTTGCGAGCAATGAGAGAAGCTGCGCCAGCAGAAACCTCACCTTCCACAGACGAGATTGGTTGAAGATGCTATCCCATCGCTTCTTTCCTCGCACCTTCACTGTGATCGCGTTGGGCTGTAAGTCGCACTTCACGTCCTCCTTGACGCTTCCTGCCATCCCGCGTGTCAAGTCCACCCAGTCGCCATCTCCCTCCACCTCTAGGGAGGACGATGGACACGTGCAGCTCTCCCAGCGTCTGCCCCCACGTGTAGCCCGGGCCGTGCGAGCCGTTCCGCTCGTTGGGCTCCGAACCGCCTTCAGGAGGAGGCTTGAGCGACAGCAGCCTCCCGTCCTCTCGTCCCTGTCGCCGGAAACTCTCCTCAAGCTCTCGCTTGTACTCCATGTACCTGACAGAGGAGCTGAGGGGAGGGGAGCGACAGGCTGCGAGTCACCTCTCGTACTCCGAGTAACGCGGGTGATGCGGGGGAAGAACCTTGGGGGGTCCAACCTTGCCGTGGCCTCGCTCTTCACACGGTCAACTACATGATCAGGAGGGAGCAGAAAACCTGCATGCTGCTGCCTCCTCGATGACTGAGACGGGGTTCGACTGACAGCCGCAGGGACCATGTCGAAGGTCGAGCCCACTCGTTCTTCTATCGCTTCCCAATCAGATTCCTTGAGCCGGCTCCACTTGCTGAAATCAGTCTTCTTCCAGTCTCTGATTTCCTCGGCCACCCCCTGCCTCCTTATCTCATCTGACCCATGCTTCCTCGTCTCGCGCACGTCCCTCTCTCTCTCTGCTGCCTCAACTTTCGCCAGCCTGCAATGCTCAGGCACCTTTCTCTCTCCTCGAATCAACTCGAGGACTGCATGGTGGTTGAACAACTTCGCTACCTCCCCCGCAGCTCTTCCTTCTTCGTTCTTGATGCCCGGGTCTGCATCGTTTGCCAGCAGCAGCATGACACACTCCTCGTTCCCATCCACTGCAGCGAGGTACAGCGGCGTCCTCCCGTTCTTCGTCTGAGCATTCACATTGGAGCCCTGAGCGAGGAGGGACCTCAAGATGTCTGCCTTTCCATTCGCTGCCGCCTTATGCAATGCAGTCCATCCTTCCCTATCCGAGCAATCGACGCTCTCTGTCTTCGCCATACTCCTGTGCTCTCCCTCCTTCTGTTCTCTCTCTCCCTCCTTCTGTTCTCTCTCTCTCCCTCCTTCTGCTCTCACTCTCTCCCTCCTTCTGCTCTCACTCTCTCCCTCCTTCTGTTCTCTCTCTCCCTCCTTCTTTTCTCTCTCTCTCCCTCCTTCTGTTCTCACTCTCTCCCTCCTTCTGTTCTCTCTCTCTCTCTCCTTCTTTTCTCACTCTCTCTCTTCTTCTGTTCTCACTCTCTCCCTCCTTCTGTTCTCACTCTCTCCCTCCTTCTGTTCTCACTCTCTCCCTCCTTCTGTTCTCACTCTCTCCCTCCTTCTTTTCTCTCTCTCTCCCTCCTTCTGTTCTCACTCTCTCCCTCCTTCTGTTCTCACTCTCTCCCTCCTTCTGTTCTCACTCTCTCCCTCCTTCTGTTCTCACTCTCTCCCTCCTTCTGTTCTCACTCTCTCCCTCCTTCTGTTCTCACTCTCTCCCTCCTTCTGTTCTCACTCTCTCCCTCCTTCTGTTCTCACCCTCCCCTCGCCATGATCTCTGCCTGATCTCCTGTCCTTCCCACCTGAGGCGGATTATGTGTTGGTTCTAGTAACTAAAATCTTGAGTACAATCGGGGGATGCGGGGCAAGTTTACGTCTCAATGTGAGGAGGAGGAGACGCAGAGAGACGCCAAGGGAAGGGAAGGAGCCGACATGCCGAGGAGCGACTTGCCAAGGAGCGACATGCCGAGGAGCGACATGCCGAGGAGCGAGCGAGGTGAGCGAGGAGAAGGGGGTGAGCGAGATGAGGCAGGGGTAGGGAAGGGAGGCAAGAGGGAGAGATAGGGAGAGTGAACATGTTGAGCAGTTTCGTAAAGCATGAATCTGAAACCTGAAGGAGGAGGAGGAAGATCGAGTAACTTTTTTGTGAAGGAGGAAGGGCGAGATGAGGAGTCGAGCATCTTGAGATTGTTGAATTGCCATCGGAGTTCTCCGACATGTCGCGCATATGGCTGGTCCTCGTCATGTGTCTCGCTGCCTTGGGTCTTTCGCGAGGAGAGTGGAGGGCAGACACGCATGGACTTGCGATGCTTGAGGAGACGAAATTGTTGAGTCTGGACGCGAGACCCTCTGCACAGGTACAGCATGTGACGAGTGCGCCAAGTCTCACTCGCCATGGCAGCTCTGCCCGTCATGCTCGCAGACTCCTTCCGTGAAGATGAACCGCAAGTTTCTCCCGACCAACACCGTCCTCGTTCCTCTGCGCGCCCGTCGAGATGACGGCAAGTTGGCTGGACCTCCTTGTCAGGTGAGAAGCTCGGTCAGCAGGTCTCCAGCTGACGGGTGACTGTAGCGATGCGTCGCCGACAGCGAGACTCGTTACGCCCTCCTCCACAAGCCCGCAGACCCTCCCAAGCAGCGGATGCAGGAGCGAGACCAAGCTTCCTTCACCCTCCACCCTCTCGCCCTTGTGCGACGCTGCGTCAGTCTTGTGCTCCTCCGCCTGCTGAAGGCCGCGGCAGAGCTGCGCTGGGCGAGCAGCAAGTCGACGCTGCTCCTCGCGAGGGTGGTGGGGCATCTCATCTCGCAGTACCTGGAGGATGACGAGGCCAAGTCAAGGCCTGGCACCTGGTGGCAGCGCGTAACGAGCTCAAGCCACCTGCTCTACATGCGGGAGGCGGCGCTCATGGGGTTGCTTGAGCATGTCGACTGTCCGGTGGAGAAGGAAAGGAGGGAGCTGGACGTGGACGCGATTTGCGGGAGAACCCTCCGCCTGTGCGGACAAGACGCGGTGCGGAGTCTGGTGTCGCAGCTGTCGGGCAGTCTGCGGGTGTCCCTGGGCCTGCTCAACACTGCGCTGCTGTGCTTGAGCTTTGTGGGGGTGAAGGTGGCAGGAGGAAGATACACAGTGACAGAGACGAGCGTCAACGTCAACGGCATGTTCTGCCAGGGACTCGGCGAGGTGGGAGGGGGAGGGCACGACAACCCGCTGCCCAGCATCTTCGGACGACGAGACGACGACGAGATGTGCGCCCTGCATGCGCTGCTCGATGTGCCTTTCAACCTGGTGGACTCGCTGCTGGGGATGCAGGGGATCTTGTCAGCCTCTGGCCGCTGTGCGGTCAAGGACGAGCTGGTGATCCAGGTGACGAGCGAGCAGGCGCGAGGGGACCAGTGACGATTCGCAGGCTGCGAGGAGAGGAGCGCGTCTGGAGGGTCACAGCCTCGGGACGTTGGACGCTCGTCTGATGAAGGCGAGCATGGGATGGGCAGGTCCCGTCGTCTTGCTTGCTCCTCCCTTCCCTGGAGGTTGGGAGGCCGGAGTGCAGACTGTCTGCGCTCATAGCGATCCTGTCTGCTTCGGCCCAGCTGCTCCTGTGCTGGGCCTTGCTAAGGAGGTGAGAAGAGTTGGCAGAGGAGAAGGGCATGGGCGTGAGACGCGAGGCAGGTGCATCGGATCCCAGGACGAGGCATCGGGATCGTCCACAGCAGGAGGAGGTACAAGGACTACCTGAGGAGTCTGACGTCGTGGGACGCAAAGGATGGCGAAGTCTCGACTCAGATGACTTCGAGCTGGCAAATGTCGTTCATGATGCTTCCTGGACGCCTGCTGGAATGGCTGCTCGGGTCCTTGTCGTGGAACTTGTCAAGCTCGGCAGTGGCTCGTCGCTTGTGAAGCCGCCAGGAGAGCTTGTTGTCCTTGTACATTAGTGCACTTCAGTTTGCCTTTCAACGAACCCGCCTCAAAGATAATTATAATCAAATAAAAAGGCAGTAAATGTGCCCTTAGAATTCAAACCTTATTCTATTTGCTGCCCTGTCAGGATCAGCAAACCTACCTCAAACAGAAGGGGACGTAACGGTAGTAACTGCTCGGTATTTTCAGAATGGGATGGACATGAAGGAGGGAGAGAAGCGAAGGGAGAAGAGAAGAGAAGACGGGACGGGACAGGACAGGACGGGACGGGACAGGGCAGGACAGGAGAAGAGAGGAGAGAATAGAAGAGGGGAGGGGAGACAGAGCAGGAGATACGAGGAGAGGAGAAGACAGGACAGGCAAGGAGAGAAGAAGGAGACGACACGAGAGAGGAGAGGCGACAGTAGAGGAGGGTCAAGAGAGGAAGGCAGTAGTTGTGTTGCTCTTGCATCTCATCGAAGTGAAGGCGGCATAAGCAGGCTGATGCTCACTTGCGGCGATTGAGGGCAGGAGGAGGAGGTTGAAAGAGGGAGCAGCGATGGGGGAGATCGTGCTTCCCATCACGAGTCCTCTGCACCTCACCAGGTGAGTCTCCAGTCGCATCAAGCTTGTTGGATGTTTGACGTGAGTCCAACAGCGCGCAAGACATCTCCGAGCTGAACATCCACCTGAGGTGAGAACTTCGCCGCTGAGGCAGCTGACGAGGGATGCAGGTACTCGCAGCTGGTCAAGGCGTATGAGAGTCTGCAGCACGAGAAGCAGGAGGCCGAGAAGAAGTACGAGTACCAGCTGAGCGCCATGCGGCAGCTGCTCAAGCGACGAGACTCGTCGGATCTCAAGGCTGGTCTCGCCCCGAGACAGGCGACCAACGCGAAGGAGGAGGGAGACGAGAAGAGGCTGGTGCAGGAGCTGCGGAGGCGACTGGTAGAGCAGCAGAACAAGATGGAAAGCTTGCAGGGCGATCTGCTGCTTGCGGTGGATCAAGGAATCAAATATCGGGAGAGCCTGCGGCGGATGGTGGAGTTTCAAGAAACGAGAGAGAAGGAGGAGGTGCTTGAGAGCGAGAGAGGTGAGAACAAGAGGCTGATGAGCAGGAATCTCCAGCTGAACTCCGAGCTGATGCGCTTGAGCCGTGCCAACGACGAGCAGCAGGAGCACATGGAGCAGCAGCAGCAAGACATTGCGGGTTTGCGCTTGCTGCTGGCAGGCACTCGGGAGCAGCTGGAGGAGCAGCTGAAGGAGGCGAGGGACCTGACCGTCACGCTCGCCGACGTCATGGCCCAGCTCGACCAGGACAAGTTCGACGCCACGTCAGCCAGAGAGAAGACGCGCAAGATGGTGGACCAGGTCACTCAGAGCTGCTCAGCCATGATCGGGGAGCTGAGAATGTCCGTCCTCGAGTGCGTCGGCATGCGGACGCGCTTGGAAGCCGCTCACGAGTCCGAGAGAACCCCAGCTCAGCTGGACAGGCAGCAGGAGCAGATCCAGGCGGCCACAAACTTCCTACGAACTCTAGAGGGAGACATCTACAGCATCTGCGAGCTGGTGAAAGAAAGCAAGCCAGACGTGAGCTGGTTCGAACGAGAATGGAGGCGAGTGAGCGAGGAGACGGAGGAGCTGGAGGGGAGGAAGGAGGAGAGCCGCCAGCTGATGGCCGCCTGCTCCGACAAGACTCAAACCATCGCTGACCTGCAGGCTGAGCTCGGCGAGGTGCGAAGCAGCCTAGACCGCAAACTCACAGCGATGGCAGCGACGAACGAGAAACTGGAAGCGGAAAGAGCTGAGAAAGAGAAGCAGCTGGAGCATGCGCGGAGGGAGCTGGAAAAGGTCAGGGACGAGGCCTCGTGGCGCCTGCAGCAGCGACAGAAGGAGGCGGAGGTGCTGACACGCGAACGCGAGGAGCTCGAGCAGAAGCTGCGAGCCAAGTCGGTGGAATGCGAAGCGATGAAGATGAAGGCGAAGGAGGCGGAGGAGGCGAAGGCGAAGGTGATGGACGACTTGCACAAGCTGAGAAGCGAACAAGCTCGAGGGCGCGACGAGGAGGTCGAGAAGCTGCTGGAGATCGCGCGATGCAAGTCGGAGGTGAGCGAGAAGTTGGAGCGAGAGCTGGCGGAGGAGGCAGAGAAGCGCGAGGAGCTGGCGCAGGCGCTGCGAGAGGCTCAGGAGGAGACGTCGCATGTGAGGCTGCAGCGCCTGCGGGACGAGGAGGAGGGGAGGCGAGAGAGGCGAAGGCTTGAGCGCGAGAAGGAGCTGCTGACGAACGCGCGAGAGGAGTGGACGAAGAGGGAGGAGCGCTGGAGAAACGAGCTTGACATGCTGCTGCGAAGCAACGAAGAGCTGCGAGTGCAAGTTGAGACATTCAACTCCCAAGCAGCGAAGGCTAAGGAGGAAGAGAGGGAGAAGGAGGAGAGGGAGAAGGAGGAGAGAGAGAAGGAGGAGAGAGAGAAAACCCAACAGAATTCGGAGAAATCTCAATCAGATGCGTTACAAACACCAGCAAGACCTACAAGACTCTCGAAGATCGATGATGAAGTGAGTTGATGCTATTTCCCTTCCCCTTCCCCTCTTTGTCACTTTATCATGATTGTTCCTCCTCCTCCTCCTCCTCCTCTTCCAGCTTTGTCTTTCAGCATTTCACCTGTTCCTCCCCTCTCTTTGTCTTTCAGCATTTCACCTGTTCCTCCCCTCTCATCTCGCTTTCCTTCAGCTCCCTGGCATGGACGGAACTTTTCTCCCCGACACCCCTGAGCTGGATCAGAGGGAGTGGGAGGAAGCGATAGCCCAGGTGCGAGCAGTCGGGCAAGGAGGGAAGAGGGAGGAGGAGGAGGAGGAGGAGGAGGAGGTGGAGGAGGAGGAGGAAGTGGTGGTGGTGGTGGTGGTGGTGGATAAATATGTCGACGACGTGGGAGGAAGAGGAGGAAGAGGAGCGTCAATAGGAGGGAGTCTTAGACCAAGCTACGCAACGTTAAGAGCGACCCCACATCACTAAAACAACAATTGGTAACGATAGGATGGGGTGTCTGGGCTGAAGAAAAGAAATTCGAGAGACTCAAGGAGATAACGAGTAAACAATTTTCATTCTCTTCAAGGAAGCGTTTGTTTGATTGACTAGTGCGATGCGCCTAATGTCACCCCGATGTGAGGAATAATGGTGATCTCCTGCCCGTTTGTTCTGGTTGACTACTATC